AGAGGCATTCCCTCCTCTGGATAGATGGGGGGAAGGAGGGGACGCGTACTCTCCACATACAGCTTAACGCAGCAACTCGACTTAAGAGCGTTGAAGTGCATTTTTCTTTATTGGGCATTGATCTTAAATGCTTGCCCTTTTTATGCACTTCAGCCTTTGATTTTATCGCCCAGGATTTTAAACAACTAACGCAATCTATCAAGGCAAATAATCAACTCAATTGTTAAACTTTATCGAAAAACTTGAAATATACACAATTTATAAACTTTATTTCAGTTTTGCCAATCACAAATAGGCCTCCATTCTTTATTGAAATGCGGTTCTGGAGCAAGATCTTCCATTTGACATTCAAGAATTTTATCAAGGTTCTTAAGGCATGGCTAAATAAGAATAAGGATTAGAAAATTTAGACTCTATTGTAACTTAGTATAATATACATATAATATCAATTAGAGAAGTCAAACCTACACAATTCTCTATTATTTATATTTTAAAAATTTAATTATTATATATTATGCATTTAAACAATAATTCCAAAATTTGATAAAATCAGTCAAGTGTATAATATAAATTAATTGAATAATTTTATTATAAATGATAGAGAATTGTGTAGTTTCTCTGCATACAAATTTTGAATGCATATTTTATATTTATATTAGAGCTCAATGTTTCCTATTTACTATACTTGATATGAGAAAATTGAGCTCATATCACATGTTGGCACATCTCCTCTACAGAAACTGGCACATTCAGACGGAACGCCTAAATAGTAGCTTTATCAATATTTTTATTGCTTTGGATTATCAACCTTTTCGTTTGCAACATTCAGTATTGTCATTGGCATCTGAACAGTTTAAGAAAATTAGACTAATTTAAACATTATTAAAGTACCTGCAGCACAATATGTCCAAATGGTCAGTTGTGTTATGCATTTTAATCCTAAACCACTCCCGAGCTTAAAAGTAAATTGAACTAAGATTAATTCAAATTATTTACATCATTAGCTGTTGTATTATATCCACACAATGGGAGGCAGAACCTCATGTCATGATCTCCTACCTTTAAAAATTAATTTTAAAATTTAAAAAATTCTTCATACAGTCCTGCAGCAGTTTTGTATTCGTCTGTGATGTGCATTTGCGCAACTGCATTTGCATTGCTTAGCTAAGAGTTTGGCCTGTAAAAAATAATTAAGCTAGGGATGGTAAGATGCCTACATAAGTAATACTCCTAAATAAAATACAATTTTTAGGTTAATTTGACTGTATACAAAATTAGTCAATTAAAATTTGACTTTCAAAAAATAATGAAAAATGATGACCCAGCTCTACCGAGGCCTAGGATTTTATCGTAAAAATAAATTGTTCTATTTATGAAAAAATTAATCTGGTGCCAATTTTTGATATGAGTTACATAAATTAGTTACTTACATACTGTAGTTGGGTTATACCTATTCTTGATTTTATAGCTAATGGTGCTTACCGGTTTCGATTAAATCTCAAATTTAACTTTTCCCCACCTTGATTGATTTGCCATAACAAAATCCTTGTTTAGAGTGTTCATGGCAAAAATCCCTCTCTTCTGGGCATAAAAATCTGAGCTCTTCAGTGGTAAGTGGACTAGCTGGTGCAGCTATTGGACGTATGGCACAAATAAGTAGAATTGCGAGTATTGTGGCGAGCAAGCCGATTGCAAACATTCTTTAAATTTTGAGTAAAAATGAGCAAGGGTTTTATTAAAAATTTTTTTGAAAATAAATTTAGTAAGAAGGCACTATAAAATTTTTTAAATTTTAGTCAAGAACGTCTTAACTTGCAAAAATACGAGACCAAGCTGAGGACCATAATATGTATGTACGTATAAAAATTTTCTTCAAATAAATAACTTAATATTAAATTATATACTAATATACATATATGCATGAAAATCCTAATAACCCTTGAGTTCATCGAGCCAAGGAGATTGGTACGAAAATTCAGAAGGGCTTGACATTTTCCAGTAAGCTATGGCTTTGCGCCGTTATGGCCGCGCGCCATTTTGGGCTGTACTCATGTAGATAGTATTGCTCAAACAGTAATGTCACCCAATGGCCTACCAAATTTAAAAAAGAAACTTATGCTAATCTGTGGGAGATTAAATGTGAGGGTGTCTAACTTTTATGTTCGGTCGAACTTGCAAATAAAAATCAAATTAAAATAAAGTTACCTATTAGAATTCAGTCTGTTTATTGTAGTTAATCGCTTTCCACAGCTATTAGTTGAATAATTGTTAAATTGACTATTTTGTTCTAATAATGGATCAGATAGAGAAGTGGGATTATTTTCAGTAGAAATCGTTATTTCTTCCAGCCGTTGACCTTCTATTAGCAAGGAGACATTTTTTTGCTCTTGAGCGGGGATGATCAATGGTGTCGGGATGCGATCAATCTCAATAGTTGAATATTCATTATTTTTGCTGTTAATTTTTGATTTAATTTGGGCAGCTAACATTGATTCTGATCTAATTGAAATTTTGAAGTTCTGGAATGAAAAACGTGAAAAATTTTGAATTTAAATTTAGTGGTACTTAGCTTAAATTAATGAAACAGAGTCGAAGGATTAATTTAATAAAGGTTACTATGTATATTCGATTAATTTCGACTCCCAGAGATAAATTGAAAGAGTCCCACATCGAATAATTCCACGCCCTCTAGAACTATAGCACCCTAGAGATAAGTTTAAAAAATTCCAAGAGAATTAAACGAATTAAATTTAAATTTTTCATTTTAATGTGATTATGGAATCAAATGCCAAAAATAAGCTCATACGCTTCGTTTTACTTATTTTAGGCAATTCCTAACCAACTTAATATAAAAAATCTTAAGTTATGATGATTAAATTAACAAGTTTTACAGAATATTATTGCATTTTTTACTGTCAGTTTAGTATTTTTGTAAGCCATATCAACATGGCTAATTATCCGAATAATTAATTTAAAAAGAAGTAAAACAAGCATGTATTTATGTAAATGAAAGCTTTTTAGAGTTTAAAACAATAAAAGAACACATTTCTTGTTTTTTATCTCCTAATTTCATCTCAAAAATAAGCACGACTTCGATGTATTTTATATTGGAGTAGAGAGAAATGGAAGTGAATTTTAGAAAATTAAAGAAATTAATTTTTAGGTTAATTTGAACAGCAAGTCTGATCAAGCATAGATTGTTTAGATGCTTGATTGTTTAAATGCTTGATTCTCAGCTACAGATCTGTATTCACTGATTAACGAATTTTTAAAATTTTAAATTCCCAAAAAATACATAATAGTACTTAAATATGGTATTGTAGACTTACAGTATGTTAATGAAAAAATCTTAACCGGTAATTTTTATATACAGTTTTTAATGCTGATTTGATTGGATTCATAAAGTCAAGTAGAACCAAATAATGTATCTTTGACTGATTTTACATCCGACTAAACTTTTGATACCTCGGTTTTGATACCTCGGCCATTAATCCATGGTAATTATCTAATTAACACTAAAAAATAATTTGTATTTGTCGTAGCGTGACGAAATTTTGTACGATGTTTGTGTCGAAACTCTTTCTGAGGGTAATTTAGTTTCTCTCTCTATTAAAAAAGATAAAGCAATTTAATTTAATTCTCACATTCCTAATTTAAAAAAGAGGTGTGAGAGCAAAATTGAAGGTTTACGTGGCATTATTGTTTACTTAATAAATCCAAATGGGTAAAATTATTAGAAAAATTAATTTTTTTAGTTACGAAGAATACGCATTTATTGCCAGAAAGCTGAAATTAACAATTCTCCCCTAAAATTTAATTTAATTTAATAGGCTAAAAATGATTTCAGTACACAATTTATTGAAAAATTAAATAAAGTTTCTTGTGTAAACGCTCCGCAATGGATAGAAAAGCTTCAATAGTGGACGTGTTTCTTCATTTTAAATTTTATTTAAAAAATTTTAAGCTAAATTTTTAATTAATATACAGCCGAACAGCATTATACATACTCTCCTATGTGTAAAAATTGTAGTAGAAGTCAAGTGTTTATTAATGGCAACCCATTGGCTTCAACACTTCCTCAACCCAGCTTAAAGCAAAATTTAAAAAACTTAATTTATCGGTTGAGATCTCGTCACGATCTATCTTAATTATCATGTAGGGTTGGACCAGAGGTCTTTTGGAAAACCAATTTCCGACTTGCAATTTCCGAAAATTTGGGCTGATTTCATTTTTTATTTCGTACAGTTCCAATTTCCGGCAGTTTAGTTATTTCAGATCGACCTCTGGGTTGGCCCACGACACCGTTAACTCCAATCTTTTTTGCTTTTTTTCTTTGTTGCCCTGACGAGCAACAAAACCAGACTTTAAACTTTTCGACTCCTCTACTATCTAATATTGCTAGCTCAAATTATGATCCAGTTTTAAACAAAATATTTATTACCAATTCATTTTTTAAAAAATATTTTACTTAAGAATTTCAATAGCGAGATAATCCGTCATTTAAAAGCTTCCTTTCCTTTTAATGCATTAATCTAAAATTTCCTCCCAACGGATTAAAAATAAAAATTGTTGCCATAGACAAACGTCTATGTAATTAGTGAAACACCAGACTTCACTACTTTAAAATTTAAAGTTAATGCTTTAAAGATGCCATAAAAAATAAATTTTATTTTAACTCTAGCTTATCGAGCTTATAAAAATGCACTTTAATTTTTTGACGTTTCTATTAAATTCCAATATTAAATTTTCAAATTGTTTTCTGATATATTTTTCTAATTCAGTTGTCTAAAGTGTAGGCGAGATGCCCGAGCGATAGAGAGCCCGAGCGATAGAGATGCCCGAGCGATAGTACTATAATTAGCCAATGGGCTTACAAAAATTGCATTGGCTTACAAAAATAAAGTGCCATCGCTAATTCATACTGGTCATTTCCAAACTTATTGAACTTTTATTTAAATGTTCTTAAAAATAATTTTATATATTATACAAATTATTCTTTAGGGAAATTTATAAAGCATTAAATTTAGCAATGATTTCTGAAATTGAAAGTGCTAATAGCAGCACAAGCTCTCCTTCATATTCCCCTCAAGCTTCAAATATTATTCCTAGCATTTCTGAACTCTTCAACATAGCTAATCTAAATATAAATATTTCTGAACTAACCACATCCCATAACAAAAGCCAAATCCAAATGTCAGTTCAGACTACAAACTCACTTTTAATGTTACACTTGGCCCAAATGCAACAAGTTTTTCAACAAAATGCCGAAAATACGGCGCTTATAAGTCAAGCAATTATTGCTGAAAAAGCAGCAATGGCTAATGAGTTGATTAGAATTAGGCAGCTAAAACTAAGAGGGAACGTAGACATGAAGAAGATTAATTTTAAAATGAAGGATAAAAATTTGAAAGCCTATAATAATCCTCTAAGCGAAGGAAATGACTTCCTAAATGACGTTAATAGTAGGAAGGACTTTTTTACACGTTGTGGAATAACCTGGAAGTATTTAACTTCAACACAGTCAATTGGAGAGTTTGACGAACTTCGACGTAGGCAACAGGTAATTTTTGAAAATTTTTATTTATAAGCGTATATATGTTAAATAATTTTATGAAGACATAATTTGTTCATGAAATGATTTGTCAATAAAAATTGACATTCAAAAATATTAAAAATTGCCTTGTGAAAACATATGCTGTATGTATATCTCAATTGTAAATAGAAATTTATTCAATTTTAATTTAAATAACAAACATTAAGTATAATCAAGCTGAATAAAAAATTACTGAAAACATTATTTGCTAAGTATATTAAAAATTAAAATTCAGGTCTCAAAAAATAGACATGTCGGTTATGGAATTCGTTATGCATGCACTAGAAATGCAAAAGCAAGGGATAATTGTCCTTATTTATTACTTCATATTCCTGGTAAATTTTATTTAAACCACAATTGAAATAAAATTCAAAATTAAAGGAGATAATGGCATTCAACATGTTTACTCACGAAATTGTCATACTCATGCTATAAAATATATTCGTGCTAGAAATAGAAAAGATTCTGCTAGTGTGTTTTTATAGTGTTCTATAATAACTATAATATTATTTAATTATTTTTAATTTTACAAGATATACATTTATTGAAAATTATAATTTAATAAAGCCGTAAGCCTGTTGCTTTATCTGGTTGTTCTTCATAATATCGTGTATTTTTGTAAGCCATAGATCTATGGCTATTAAAGTAATATTTAATTTAAATTCGTCAAACAAACTCTAAAAAAATATTAAAAGAACAAAATGAAGCCAAAAATTAAATTTTTAATCAATTATCCCTTTCTTTCCGCAATTCTGAAATCCTCTGATTATATACTTTTTCATAATTTTCTGCCATGATGTCCGAAGTAAATCTGTTTTCAAATTCATTACGGACGGCTGAACGATCAAATTGAGATGCTTTTTTTACAGCCTCAACGGCTTCCTCAATTGTGTCGAAAAGTGTGCCGGAAACACCTTCATTAACTATCTCAGGAACAGAGCCTCTACGTCTTGCAATTACAGGTGTTCCACAAGCCATAGATTCAATCAACACCAATCCAAAGGGTTCAGTCCATTCAATTGGGAATATTGAAGCTATCGCATTTCCAAGGAAATCACTTAAAATGTATAAGCTTGAATTAAATATCAATTAAAATATTTAATTAAATTTAAAAGGCTTAAGTTATATCGGATTTCCATTTCTCTTCCACTTCTCATATCGTATATTTTTGGAAGCCTAAGCTTAATTAGGCTATAGTCCCGAAACTACCTTTTTAATTTTATAGTTAATTCATAGAATTTCTCATTACGGGCATAAATAAGTCATTTAACTTATCCCAAGAAGGGAGATTGGCCTAGTTAATGTCCAGGCCTAGTTAAGGTACATGACTAGTTAATAAGGCAAGAATTGATTAAGCGGGCATTTAGTGGTTGAGCAGGCAGGATGAGACTCTGAAAATATCAAAAATTTGACAACTGTAGTAGGGGTCCGTTTATTGGGATAACTTATAGATTCCTTTAAGAAATTAGTCTCATTCCTTAAGCCTATACCTTTATTTTATACCCACTTTTTCTGTTTATCATTCAATTCACCAACAAATTCAACCATATTTCTGTGTTCATCAATCATTTTCATAATTTTAGCCACATATTCATCCCCAGCACCAAATTTACTGGCAGCAAGTTTTAATCTAATTCCAGCCTTAACGGCAACTGAAAAAAATTATTTGAGAGTTTATATAATTTGTCAAAGAAATATTTGACATCCAAAAAATGAATAGTGGATACCGCTTCTAAAGTCGACTAAATGCCATAAAATTATTTCTAAATTTATCTAATTTAAAAAATTAAATTTAATATTTTTCAGAAATAGAAAGTGCTCCAATAAAAGGTTTTACAGTAGTTACTTTATCAAATTCTAAGAACTGAGCTAATCTCTTACAAAAATTACTGATAGCAAATTCTAACCTAATTCCGCCTTAATATTACTGAGAAAGGTTATCTTAATTTGTATGATAATTTGTCAAAGGAATATTTGACATCCAAAAAATGAACGCTTAATTCTGTTAAAAGTTAACTAAATGCCATAAAATTATTACTAAATTTATCTAATTTAAAAGATTAAATTTAATATTTTTCAAAATAGAAAGTGCTACAATAAAGGGATCAGTCGTTACTTTATCACATTTTAGTAACTGACCTAATCTCTTTTACGTAATTTACTGGCAGCAAATTCTAACCTACATAATTCGGTCTTACAAAAAAAGTTTATCTCCGTTTATATAATAATCTGTCAAAGGAATGTTTGACATACAAAAATTAAACAGTGATGTAAAGTGGCAAACTAATAATTACAGTACCTTATTTTATCCCATTGTAACTATTATAGAAATCCTGTCAGATGTCAATCAAAAATTTCATATGCTTCCTGAACTAATTTAAAAATCCTCACTTTCAATAGCCAAATCAGGCCTTTTGTCTTTGTGAAATCTGCCGAGGAAAGCCAAATAAGGGCCTTTTCCGGCCTCAACTCGAGGTTTTTCTATAAATTTGTAGAGATCTTTGGGTAATCCGTGATGAACCGTTGCAATCCAATTTGGATTGCCCTCAACATGAACTCGTTGGTCGTTGGAAATTGATATGAGTGGAATTGTGTTGTATTCGAAACCGAGCTGGTATATGCGGCCACTGTGAAATTATAAAGTATTAAATGTTTAATTAATTGGAGTTTGAAGAATGGTAATACATTAATGACACTAAATAAAAGGGTACATATATGGATTAATCATTTTTTGGATGCCTATCGTACGATTAGGCAAAATAAAGATACCTATGTATAGTGTAATAGTAAAGGATCAAGATTATTAATTAAATATTGCAAATTTTGGTAAAGTAAAGTCGAGATACCGAGTCTTGTAAAGCCGAGCTTTATGGGAAAATTTAGAAACGAGATATTTTTTGGTGCATATCCTAAGATTAGGCAAGATAAAGCAGATGAACAAAATGATTACTTAATTAAATATTGCAAATATAATATATAGTAGGCCGGAGACGATGATTACCAAGGCAGGTAATCCCGTGATTTATGGGCAGAGACAATTAGCCCAGTTTTAACCCAGTTCGAAGACCAAGCATGATTGATGTTTTTAGAAAGCCTAGGCGTGTCTCGCACTATTCTGCCTCAAACTGAAAAACACTGCTTAATAAAATTATGCTCTCCATAAAAATATTCAATCAAAATTATCTCACATTATAAGCCCATGAGTAGTCACTGCCATGGCTGCTTTTTTATCTCTCAAAATTTGACGTGTTTCTTCAAGAAAAAAATCGGTATGAAAGTGTAAAATGTCGAATTTCGAAGCATTTTGTCGAATACTATTGAACATTGGGATATATGGTGACAAATCTTCTGAAAGTCCAATTTCAGGTCTGAAAATAATTTTTGAACTAAATGACGAATGTGTTTGAGGGGGACATTATGGGGATTGTGCACACTATTGAGGGACATATAAAGGAGTGTCGGACCTAGCTTAGAGAGGTCCGACGCCTAATTTTAAAAACGATCTGAAAATTGGTTTGTTCTAACTATGGGAAGATGCCTAAGTAATGCTACTAGATAAAATAGAGATTTTTAAGGTCAATCTGACTGTATATAAAATTAGTCAATTAAAAATTGACTTCCAAAAAATATAGAACCGGCTTTAACTTCAAAATCGAACTAAGGTATTGAACTAAGGTTGTTTCATAAAGATTAATTATTCAATTTTGTATGAAAAAAATAATCTGGTGCAAATTTTTGATAGGACTTGTTATAAACTAGATATAAACACCTCAACTTTGTTATTCCAACCCCACAACCCTTTCATTAACTAAGGGCACGTTCCTTGAAAATAATCTTTTATCAGGAACTAATATCCAAATCCAGGCTTTTTTAGTTCCAGACAAGGAGTTATTTCTAAAAAAATTTTACAAACCCGCTTGGAGCAAGTGTAGCTGACGTTTTATTTGAATTGTTGGAAGCAAAAAGAGTCACCTTTATAAATTTAAAAATTTAAATTTAAGCAAATATTTCAAACTTTATGCCCCCTTTTCACTAAAGCTTCCACCAAGTAATACACAGCACGTTCAGTTCCTCCATAATTTCCAGGTGGTATTGTCTTCACCAATGGAGATATTTGAGCTATTCTAAGTATTCGTTGAGCTTTCCTGTTTGATTTAAAAAAAGTTGTACATATTTATTAGACATACTGTAGTGTAAATTTATGACAATATTTACGGAAGCGCGAAGCAGTGAAGATATTGCAATGTCGTGCTTTATACACTTTAGGCTTTATACACCCCCCCCCCCCTCCTCCCCCTTCGAAATTAACTCTAATCCAATGTTACTTCTTACAAAAACAAACAATCGCTAACTCGCGCGAGACTCGTCCCGAAACTACGATAGGTTTACCTTGACAATTTTGAGCTTGCGAATAAATAGGGTAAGTACCTAATGGCTTACCCTATATGGCTCACCCTATATAAAAAATAAGGTAAGCCTGCTCTGTGCAGAGAAACTGCACATTTTTGCCAAATTTTGGTCCTGCTATTGTCCACCTTATTTTTTATTCGCCAAATCGCTAGTTATTAATTTGCCCTCTGCACTATTCTTTTTTATTTCCTATTACTTTTTTTAATATTTTGGCCGAATATTTAGTGTAAAATTTCATAAACACCCGCGCATGAATTCATAATATAATATTTTTTGTTTAAAAAACTTGAAAAACAATCGAACCAGTTTTACGAAATTAAACAAAAACTACCTTTGCGAAGGCAATTTACTTTCCGTAAAGTACTCTCGTTCAATCATAGAAGAAATAAGTGCATAAATAAATAAAATAAATAAGGTGCAAATTCCAAGTTTTTTAAAAGTGAAAGAGAAAGAGAGCCAAGAATTGAGTGAATTTTGAAGTTGTTTTTGTTTGAGATTATTTTTAATTGGTTTCGTTGTCAATGATTTTGCCCCAAGTTTTGAGTACATTTCTGAAGGTGCTAATTTTGTGTCTTTTCTGTTGT